AGGTCCATCCCTGCTGTGGCAAATGGTAAGATTTCCTTCCTTTTCATGGCCGAGTAGTATTCCACTGTGTCCATGTATCACAGGATTTTGTACACTCGTGTGTTGATGGACACTGGCTGCTTCTGTGTTTGGGCTGTTGTATATAATGCCGCAGTGACCACGGGGTCGCATATTTCTTTCCAAACCAGTGTTTCGTTTTCTCGGCTGTCCACCCCGAAGCGGAATTGCGGGGTCATGGTTCTGGTTTCATGGTCCCTTGCACAGTGGGAAGTGAGTAAGGGCTTGCAGGACGAGACGCAGGCGTTTTAAAATCAGCACACTGTCCCCGAAACCCTCGTTTGCTGGCCCTCCCTGCCCTTGGGGCATGCAACCCTCTGCCCTTAGCAGCTCCTTGGAAAACCTGTTGCAACGACATTTCTAAAGTCTCTTGCAAGGAAATAATGACAGATGTAGTCACGTCTCCACATACAGAGTAAAGTGATGGAACTCGGCGAACCGCGGTTGAGGGAAAGGAATGTGTTTTGCAGCCACCGGTGAGGATACATGTTCAGGCTTGAGGTTCTGGAGCTGAGGTCGGCTGTGCTCCTACACGTAGACGGGCCGTCGAGACCCGCAGGCTGCAGGCGGGTCAGCACCACCTCCCTGGCTTCGGTGTGTCCCCGGGTTCCTGCAGGAGCCGGGCATGTGGTCCCCCTCTGCTCGGCCGGGTGTGGGTCGCCTCCAGGTTCAGGGGGTCAGGAGCTTCCAGACTAAAGAGCTTACGCTTCTGAAGTGAGCGGGCTGCTGCCTTGACCAGCAGCCCCGCGGTTTCCGTCCCGAGCGCCCCGCCGGTCGGTGGGATGGCTGTGCGTTGACAGACGTCTCCGTCACCGTGCTACAGCGGCACCAGGTCTAACCCGAAGGCAGTGGAGGTGGAGAGTCCTCAGGCTGGACTGGCTGCGCCGATGGACGTCGCCCTGTGGCACCCGAGGGAGGACGAGAAGGAACTTGTTTCCACGCGGAGTCCTCCCCTCCCCGCGGCGGTGTCTCGGGGGGGCGAGAGCGTGCTCGTGGGCATCGGCGCCTGAGGAACAGCCGCGAGCACACCGGCAGTGGCGGACTGCGACTCCCAGACACGTCCCGGGTTCCAGGCTCGCGAGGACAGGAGGGCTGCACACACAGCTCCGAGCACACGTTCACTCCCGGTCACTCCTGAGGTTGGCGTCCTTGTGGCTGCTGCTGGTTCTAGACGATCGTCAAAGGGCCTCTGGCTTCAGGAGGGTGTCTGACGTCACGTGTGACCTGCAGGAATACGTCTGCGGGAGGGGAAGTGCCGGGCCTCAGATGTGGCCGAGGGGCCCCGGGCAGGACGGGACCTGTGGTTCGAGTGCGGGGTCCCCTGACTTACCGGGACACCCCACCAACGATTCCCACGTGGGGCAGACAGAGGGGCCCTGGAAGGCAACAGAGTCCCCTCTGTCCCTTCCCCTCCCTATTTCCATCCGCCTTCACCCTCTCTGTGCCCTCCCTCCCCCAGCAGCGCCCCCTCGAACCCTCGCCCTGCTCCCGCCCAGTCTCTGGCCAGCGCTGTTGAGTCGGGGACCCTGTTTCTTTGGAAATGTGTTTATTTCTGTCCCAGACCATCGCCAGTTTCCGAGAGGACAAGTTCCCAGCCCTCGAAGGCTTTCCGTCCTGCGTTGGCTCCACGTTTGAGGGTCTCCTTCAGGGGCACCACCCCGCCGGACCCCTTTGCTGTCCTGCTCTGTGGGTCCCAGAGTCCGTCACGTGATCCCGCCCCTCAGGACGCTGCCCCCGCCCTGGGTGGACGCTGGGAGCCGGGGCTGTCTCTGGCGTCTTCCCGTGCCCTCACCGCAGGCGTCCAGGGGAGGGTGAGGGACGGACCTGATTGGTTGTGGGGTGCTGATGTCGGAGGCGTGTGATCATTTTAGGGTGTCTGACAGGTCGGGCTCTCCCCATACACTTCTCGTTCGTTATCTGATCCTTTCACCTGTAACACTGTGTGAAAAACATGCCGGGCCCTCCGCTGTCTCTGAAGGAGCCTTTTCCAGCCTGAGGCTCGTTTGCTTCCTGAACAACGTGGAACCACAGGGCGGGCCGGAGTGGCCGGAGCGACGCCCCTGACGCACTTTCCCGGAGATGGTTTGAAACAGCCGCCCGAGCGGCACCTGCGTCGGGGGCCGTCTCCTGTGTGGGGGTGATGCGCCCGCGGGCCTGGTTCAGGACGCCCCGTGCTGCAGCTGCGAGGCTGGCTCTCGGGGTGGGCTCTGCACACTGGGACATGGAAGCTGGAGATTTTCCGACAGCGATTTCACGTGTTTCTGTGGGCGCTGCATCTGTTTGCCGGCTTGGTGTCCCGACGGGCAGTTCTCAGCCTCCTCGTCTTCTCAGGACACACACTAATCTCGGGGGGAAGCCGGCACTGACCTCGTCTCCCTTGGTCGTCGGTGTCCGTGGGCCACGAGAAGAGGAAGGTGGGCGGTCGCTGCTCCAACCGGCACGTGACTTACGGGGCTTCCTGTTTACAGACTCGCCGAGCGGAAAGTCAGGGGTTAGACCCCTCACTCCACACCCGGCCGCTCGGCCTCGGTGGCCGCAGGAACGTCTGTTATCGGAGCTTTGCTTTCGGTGTAGCCGTGTTCGCCAACCTTCTGTTTGACAACTGCTGCTTCAGGGTTCGTGGTCATTCAGGGAATTCTCCCGTCCAGGCTGTTTGATCTCACGCCTCTGCTTTCTTACTGGTCACCCTGTGTCAGTATTCCTCAGGCAACCAAACTAGACCTTCTTCCGAATTCGACTGTCACCCGCCCGCCTGCCCCACTGCACGCCCACACGCCGGTCACCTCGCCCTCAGATACCCCTCGGCCCATCCCGCCCGCAAGTATCCGCCGTGTGTCCGGCTGACACCCTCCCTCCCTCCGGTCCCCTTTCCATTGCACTGAAAATAATCGGACAGTATGTTTGTCTCAGGAGTTTGCTGCTCCGAATATTTCTTGAGAACAGACTGTAAATCTTGAGAAAATACTGGAGGATAAAATAATAATAATAATAATAATGTCAGAAATTGAATGCTCCGTTGGGACGCGCAGTGATTATTTTCAGACTCTTGAACACCTGTCCTGTGTTAAAGAAATTAAGCTGGCCCTGCGTGGCCAGTGGGTGGTCACTAAGGACTAGATTTTCCTCAACACAAAGAAGACATTTTAGCAGAATTCTCTGAGAACGGAGGGACCTCGCGAAGCAGCGACCAGCTCGTCCGCAGACGGGTCCGGCCGTGACGCCGGAACTCGCAGACGGAGCAAACCAGAGGCGCCAGCCCGTCTGCTCTGAGCAGCGTCATTTCACCGGCGGGGGTGTCGCTCACCCTTCCCGTCCGCCCGTCCCCGGTCACACCACCTCCAGGGACCACTGCGTTGGACTTCCAGTGTGAGGTGCTGCTACGGATGGACATTCTCAGGACAGATGCTCGTACCGCGGGGCCGTGGCCTCGTGTGCACCGTTCGAGGACCCGCAGAGGTGAGATCACTTCTCAGAGGGTCATCACGTCGAGGCCAAAGCCCACACTTTCTCCCAGAACCAATACGTAACACACTGTGCAAGGACATCGATGTGCCCTTAAAACTGTAGATACTTTTTATGAAGTTGATTCATTTTATAAGAGTTTCCCCGAATTTTCCCAGATAGGTACCGACCACAGCCACTCTGAGATAGATACCACTTCATGTGTTAAAATACAACAAAACGAATCGAAGTCTCGGGGGTGCGTGTTACACCTTCTTTACCTCTTTAATTCGGAACATAAGCCAGACGGCAGGGAGCCAGTGCGGGCTGGGCTGTGCCAATGGGCCTGGACGCCGACAGACCCGAAGGGCTGGGCCGGCGGGAGGTCACCTCCACAGCGCGAGGCCAGTGCAGAGCAAATGGCTTTATTGCCTGCGCCCGGGTGCAGGGGGCTGAGCCGCAAGGGTTCAGCCTCGAATCAGGGTTGGGGCGTCGGTTACATACCCTGCGTTTACCTCCGGCGGTTCCTGCTGACAAACTCTGCCCGGCCCATGGTCCACCTTGCAGGAGGGCTGGTCCGGCACCTCGTCCGGCATCTGCTGGGTGGTCCTCGCGGACAGTCCAGAGAGTCCTCGTCCGCACTCAACCGAAGGCTGAGCCAAGGTCTGCGAGCAACACGACTTCCAGTTTCCGCCTTTTGCACACTTTTACCTTCACCCTCTAAAACACGACTGACCCTTTCAAAAGCGTTGGTGAATATGAAATAAACCAGGACACCAAGCACGGCTTCCCAACAGAAACTGCTTTATTAGCTGTGGACCGGGCTTTCCCGGGATGAGAAAGCCGTCATCGACCAGGGGGTGATCGGAGCTGCGTCCGAGAGGTGACCGCCACCGTGACGCGTCTGCGAGGTGTCTGTCCTTCTGCCGCTGCGGAGGCTCGGCGGGCACCCCGCGCCCCGGCTCTTTGGGAGGGGAGATGTGCTGAGGGTCCCTCTGTGAACTCGGCCGGACGCCCTGGGTGCGCGCCCCGTGCTCAGTCAGCGGGGGGAGAGCTGGACCCAGCGTGCCTGACAGGAGTCACGTCCCAGCCACGAGGACGATGCTGGTTGGGAGGTGACGGAACCGGGTAGGAAGAAGGCGTCTGAAAACGATGTGCTGGAATCGGCGGTCGCACGGAGGCGCCGTCCTCCGGGAGAGGAGGTGACCCCGGCCTTGGCAGCTGAGTGACGGCCACAGTCAGAAGCCGGTGGGGTGCCCGTCCGGTGGCCGCGCCCGGGGTGTCCGACCCGTCCCTCTCAGAAGCACCGCCTCCGGGATCAGCCTCCCCCACGGGCTTCAGGAGCAGCAGAGAAGAGCCAGCCGTGCCCGGGGTTGGGCGAGTGCGTCCGGGGCCAGACTGGAGCTGGGGGAGCAGGAAGACAGGGGTCCGCCAGGAGCTTGGAAGGAGGCTGGAGGGGGACACCCCCGGGACAGCTCCCGGCAGCGGCACAAGCAGTGAGCTCATCGGTAGCAACTCAGGGGGCGGCAGGCGCTGCACAGGTACCTCAGCGGAGGGAAGGTGCTGGGCAGGCAGCTCAGGGCCCCCCAGGGTCTTGGAAAGTAGCTCAGTGGTTGGCAGCTCGAGGGCCTGAACCTCGGGTATCGGCAGTTTCTCATGACGTAGTTTTGGGGCCAGCAGCTGCTGGGAACACAGTGGGGTAGCAAGAAGGCCGCAGGTATGGAGCCAGCACTCTGGACGCTTCTGTACCCCGCACTGCCCAGCCTGCAGGGGCTCAGGGGTCGGAAGCTCTCCGATGAGGGGCTCAGTCGCCCAAGGCAGGGGGGACCATAACTGCGGATCCGGCAGGTGGCAGAGGGGCGCCGGCTGGGTGCGTGGCAGTGGGACCCGTGGCCCGTGGGCGTGGTGTGGGGCCCGCGGCTGGGGGGCTCTGAGGCACGGCGGGCTGTCCCCGCTGCCGGAGAGTTGCCGGGCGCGAGGGGGTTCCGTGGGGCCCAGCTGGTGCTGCGGGTCCGGGGCTCGCCGCTCAGCGTGTCGCCGTAGCTGCCTCGGCAGTTACCCAGGAGCCAGAAACTCCCCTGGCAGCTGCTGGGCAAGCAGAGCCCAAAGGCGGGGCTCGCATCCCCGGAGCAGAAGGCCCCGGGAGTCACCGGGAGGTAACAGTGGGTTCTGCAGGGGGGGGCGGCGCTGTCCCCAGGGACGCCCCAGAGACACACGGAGCCCGAGTGCATGCTCAGCTCAGCCAGGACCGCGGGGACGGCGAGGTGCGGCCACTTCTTATACCTCCCGGGCGGCCGCCGCCTCCCCACGTCCGGCTCCCGCCGGGACAAGCGACACCTCATTAGTGCTGTTGAGCTACAGCGGCTTCTCCACACTCTTGTAAACATCGTTTATTTTGATTCTTCAAAGTGTCAATCCATAATGGCCACTTGGCTGTCCACCGCCACTCATCACTGGCCGACCACAGTCTCGGGGAGCAGTGATTTCACGTTAACGAGCCAGCTGCCCCCTCAGCCCGCGGCTGACGAGCCCAGTCATTAAGAGGTTAACGAGGAGTCACATAAAACGAGGAGCCTGAGTTTCTCCTCTTTGCCCGGACCCGTGGCACCTGCTCTGCGTGGAGGGTCAGACACTCAACCACGATGAGAAGGTCTGTTTCCCAAAACAGGGGTGAAACCTTCACTCCCAGGCCGTGTGCCGGGGACCCCTCGCCCGGCGGAGACGCCCACCTGCTGGACGCGGCACACCCAGGGCGCCGGCCACCGAGCAAGGCCGGGGGCGAGCTCGTCCTCATGGGCCCGCGGTGGCCAAGGAACCAGACGCTGGGAGACCCCGGCGCAGTCTCTGCAAACGCAGCACAGGAAGGGCCGTCTCCCAGCGCGCGTCCTCGTGCTGAGAGCACACCTGGCGCTTCCAGCCGGCTCCGCGCTGGGACCCGGACGCCGGCAGGTGCGCGGCACCTCTCTGTCTCCTCCAAAATGAGTTCTGTTCCCGCTCTGCAGTTTTGGGGGGCGGTACCCACGGGCGGGAGTGACTGTGAGTGGGCAGGGTCCATCCGAAATCACACTTTCTGCTCCTCCCGGGGAGGCCGAAGGAGATGGCGTAAGATTTTCATTTAAACTGAGGAATCGACCTTTTGTTCCTGAAAACAGAGAGCGTGGCGGTGGGAACGGCCAGCGCAGACGGAGCAGCGCCGCGAGGATGCAGGGCCGGGGGCTTGGATGGGGGCCTGGGGGGGTCTGAGAGGCGCCGCCCTCGGGGAGACGGCAGGTTTCCTCGGGTTCTCAGCTTCTCGGCCAGACGGGCTCTGCTTCAACCCGGCCACTGCTTCCCCGTCGTCCGAGTGCTCGGGCTTGTCCCACGAGGTGACGCGTTTACTCCGTCGGCGGCAACCCCTCCCTGAGCCCGTCCACCGTCCTGTGAAGCGTCCCTCGGGCACGAATGTCAGGATCGGGGCAGCGTATTGTCTCCACTTCGGACGAGGCCCCGGACTCGGAGGAATGTCCGGTCCCGGAGCAGGCAGGAGAGACAGGTGCTCGAGGCCTCTGACCGCCACCTGCTTCCTGCGCCTGGGTCTCCAGACAGAGCCCAGAGCGCCGGGCTGCACTCCCCGATCTGGGGGGGGGCAGAACGCGTCAGTCCGCTGTGAGCCCTCCACGGCTCCCCCAGCGGCGCGTCGAGGGTGGGGTGTGTTTCACGTCCGTGTCTTTCACACCAGCGTAAGTCCGACAGAATAAATACTGTAGAACGTCTCGGAGCGTGACCACTGTTCACAGCGGGAGACTTGATCACACCTCAGCGTATTTCGAACAGTAGTACTAGGAACCGTCAAACATTGCGATTCGCAAAGCAGTTTGTTCAACTCTTCTCATTAGCATTTTTTTTTAATCCTCACCCCAGGACATTTTTGCATTTGTCTTCAGATAGAGCGAGAAGGAGGAAGAGAGAGAGAAACATCGATGTGAGAGAGACACATCGAGTGGCTGCCACCCACACAACCCCAACCGGGGCCGGACAAACTGCATCGGAGGTACGAGCCCCTAGCGGGAACCGAACCCGGGACTCTCTGGTCTGCAGGCCGACGCTCCAACCGCTGAGCCCCACCGGCCAGGGCTGCAGCTTTTTTAAGTTGTAAAATGTATTCGTTAGTAAATTATATCGGTTGACAGTGCACAATTCTGCAATACGCTAACTCACGCTGCGCTGTGTGCTCATCCCCTCGTCACCCCTCCTTCCGTCTCCACCTGTTGGCCCCTTTACCCGTCCTCCCCCCACCCCTTCCCCCTGGGACCCTCCGCCTGCGTCTGTGCGTCTGCTCGGCCTTCAGTCTTACGTTCCACACGCGTGAGATCGCCGGCGCTGGAACATCGGAAGCCACGTCCAGGAGAGTGAAACCAGACGGCCCTCTGTCACCTCCACAGAAACGAACCCGAAATGGGTCGGAGACCTGAAGAGACGCCCCGAGACAATTAGTTACACGGAAGAAAACGGGCCCTGACCGCATGGCCTCGCCTGTCATTTGCTTCTGCGTCTGACGGTCTTCCCCGCCCAGCTCTCTCCGGCCGCCCTCCCTGTTCGAGGGGCTCCTGCCAGAGCAGCCTGCTACCTGGGGTCCTGCTACCTGGGGTCCTGCTACCTGGGGTCCACCTGGGCAGGAGACGAGCACAGTAACAGCAAATTCAAGGTCACAGCACGCCCAGGTCCCACCACGCCCAGGTCACACCATGCCAAGGTCACACCACGCCCAGGTCACAGCATGCTCAGGTCACAGCACGCCCAGGTCACACAATGCCCAGGTCCCAGCATGCCCAGGTCCCAGCATGCCCAGGTCACACAATGCCCAGGTCACAGCACGCCCAGGTCACAGCATGCCCAGGTCACACAATGCCCACGTCACACAATGCGCAGGTCCCACCACGCCCAGGTCACACAATGCCCAGGTCACAGCATGCCCAGGTCACACCACGCCCAGGTCACAGCATGCCCAGGTCACACAATGCCCAGGTCACACAATGCCCAGGTCCCACCACGCCCAGGTCCCTCCACGCCCAGGTCCCGCGATGGTAGGTTTTGCAGAAGGAAGGGCACCATCGGGCGGCACTGCCCTCGGAAGGCGTTGGAGAAGCACATGGGTCACTCTGCTCGCACTTAGTTGCTAAAGGACCTTTCCTTACACTGACTCCCTATTTGGATCATGTTCTGCACGTGGGAGCCGAGAATCACTCCCGCCCGAAATGCCCACGTCGGTCCCCGTCCCCAGAACCACGCACGTCACCTCCCAGGGCAAAGGGACTCGGCCGAGTCAAGGGTCGTGCGAGGGGTCCCGGGTGAGCCCTGTGTGAGCACAGAGCCCTGTACGGAGGGGTCAGTCAGACAGAGAGGCAGGGATGACCGAGGTGGAGACAGACATGCAGCCCTGGGTGGAGGAACACAGCGGCTTCCAGAAGCTGGGGACGCGGGAACAACCTTCCTTCCGCAGACGGCAGACGGGATCGGACCTGCTGGCCCCTTGGCTTCGGTTCGGTGAAACCAATGTTGGACTCTACCCTCCAACATTATAAAAGAATACATTTCTGTTGCTTCACGTCACCGAGCGCGTGGTGACTATTACAGCAGTCACAAGAGACTAACACGTTGCGTCAGAAAGACACAGGTTATAACTGGCCATCTTTCCGCCCTGGGGGAGCGGCACCCTGTGCCCAGGCCCGTGTCAGATGCAAAGAGGAAGCTTTCTGGCGTCAGGCCGACTCAAGGAGACCGTGCCCCCGGAGAACAAGGAAAACCCCCTTTCATCCACTGAAGCAGCTCGCTCCTTGCGACTCAGTCAGCGAGAGGGAGGAAGCTGTTCCCCGTGTCCCAGGTTAAACGTCCTTCAGGGTAAACACAGAAGATCAGGAGAGCAGCATATTCCAGCCGATGGCCCTCAGAGGACAGGACGGAGGTCCCCTTGCAGCCTCGCAGGTCGCGGTGGAACCGTGTCTTCCTGCGTCCCCACCAGCTGTATAATTACACCCCAATTCCACCTGCCGCCAGGCTGTGACACGGCAGCAAGCGACCCTGTGATTTACAGCAGCCAGCGTGCGCCGTCCGCCCTCACCTCCAATTAGACGGTGAGCGGTGGGTCCAAACGATCCTTAAATGTGGCAGCGGTGACCCCGACATGCTGGACGCCCGGACTGCTGTCCACGGCTGGCGGCGCAGGTCGCAAATGGTGTCGAACGCTGAAGGGCCGGCGGACAGAATGAAAAACTGGGAAACGTAAGTGAATGAAGTCAAGGCCTTTCGGACGATGATGGCGCAGTGGGTGGGAAGACAGGGATGGGGGTCTGGCTGCGCATCCCTCCCAGGAGAACGAGCGCAGTGTGGGTGGGGGAGCTGGGGCTGGTGGAGCCCACGCCGGGGTGGGGCCCACGCCGGGGTGGGGGTGGGCTGCCGGGACGGTGCCTGGGCGGGGGGGGGACCCTGCCCCCTGCTGAGCACCTGGGGACTTGCTCAGGCTCCCAGAGCTAAGTTTGCTTTCCGCAGACTTGAGGAAGTGTGGGTGACGTGTCCACATTGTAATGCTGACGACATCCTTGCTGGGACCAGGGAAGATGTCATACGTTCCTGCTGGTGCATTCGGGACGGCTGGACGCGATCACAGAAGCCGTCCACGGGGGGCCGGCGTTCCGGAATCAGTGACGTCTTCACCGGCGGCCGTTGGCTCAGACACGTGGGTCTTCAGCGACTGACCTGCACAAGAATGAAGCAAACTTTTCACGTCGCGTGAAGAAAGCTCTGGGTTCTGACTCGAACACGGCGGAAGGAGCCACCTCTGGGCCTTGCACGGATTCGCCCCGAAGCGTGAGTTCATCTCGACAGACGTGTGCGTCCTGGAGTCAGTAGCCGTCTGGATCCAGAAACACCTCCTTTCAAGCGGTTTCGCAGGCGGCCGAAGGCGACGCGGTGGGAACAGGATGGAGGAGAGAGTCCAGCAGCCCCTCGGCCTCTGAGCATCGTCCAGCGTCGTCTTGGGGGCTGCTTTCCTGAGTCACCAGAGTCCCTGAAGGAGGCCAGAGCGACCCCAGTAGCCGGCTGCGGAACCCCGCCACGCCCTGCCCGTCGTCCCCAGCGCCCTTGACGAGTCTGGAAGGTGAGTGCATTTTCCCGAGGAAAGGTATTGACGCCCACAGAGCTTTTCACGGAAAAGTAGGAAAATCTCACGCACCCAGGCAAGCGTCCATGGGGGCCGGGGGTGAGCACACTGTCTTTTTAAAAATATTGTATTTGTGTGTTTGCAACATCCCCCGAAGCACCTCGGCGCAGGGGAGGGCGAGGCCTGTCCGCGGACGTCGCCCGTTCC